CATTACTATATATACTTGCTTATACTTGAAATGCTAAGGGATGAGAAAAAGGTAAAAAAGTGTCACTCACTCGGCCTTGAGAGACTTGGGAGGCTGACCCAGTCCCAGGACATGGATATCTAAACGGCCACACTGACGTGAGAAATGGCTCCTTATCTAAAACCAGAATGCGGGCTGCTGGGGCGTGGCTCAGTGGATGAGCATCGACCTAGGAACCAGGAGGTCACAGTTCAATTCCTGGTCGGGGCACATGCCTGGGTTGCAGACTCGATCTTCAGTGGATGTGCAGGAGGCAGCCAGTCGAGGATTCTCTTTCATCATTGATGTTTCTATCTCGCTCTCCTTCTCCCGTCCTCTCTCTGAAATGAATAAAAGCATATTTAGGGGAAAAAAATGAACTTTAAAGTGTGTATCAAGCGTTAATTTTTTTCCCTCTGAATTTTATGCAGTAGCTAAATTAGTTAAAATATAACTATTCAAAGATTTGGACAAGTTCATCTGTCTATTCATCGTTGTTGTTTTTGGCTTTGGATTTTAGGAGTTGCTGCATAACAACCAAGCCTTTCCATCTCCTCCTCATGTTCAAGGTCTTCCTAATTTCCTTTCTCTCCCTTAGCTCAGCAATCAAGAACCTACAGAATGTTTCATTTATTACCATGACCGTTTCCTACATGAGTTGACTTGCTCTTTACCTAAGCGGTTGTAGGATGCGTACTCAGTAAGGATGTTTTAGGGCCGCGTGTGTTCAGACCGTGGAAGGATGCTGCATAATTAAATAGCAGTATGGCTCACGGTAACGTTTCCTGTCCTAATGCTATTTCTCCTCCTTCCCCACCTTGCTTATTCTCGTCCACAGGGGTACGGGGGAGCGAAACTTAGCTCTTTGTCTCTGGGTCAAGGCCAAGGGCCCATCGCTATGAAGATGTTAGAAAAAGCTGTGAAGGAAGGAACGTGGGTGGTTCTGCAGAACTGCCACCTGGCCACCTCTTGGATGCCGACCCTTGAGAAAGTGTGCGAGGTAAAAAGTGCAAGTCTGTTTTCCTAGATTGCGTTCCCTCAATATGATTAGTGCTAGACTAGGACAAACCATGGAAGCCACTCCCTTCCTTTTGTATCATTTGGAGGGGGGCGGGTGAGTGAATGCTGGACCACAGGAGGGGTGGGCTGGCCTTGGGAGCTGCAGGACCAAGAAGAGCGCACAGTCAGGCCTTGCTGGGTCCCTCATCATAGGAGCCAGGCTCACGCAGAGGCATGCGAAGCACAGGGCAGACAGAACACCACCTGCTTTATACAGCCCTGGGCTGAACCAACAAAGGAGGCTCTTCAGATGACATTCACGTGGCCACTCGAAACTAAAGCATGCCAAGACACAACCTTTCCTTTAATTCACTCCTCACGCACGCAGCTAGTGATCCTGCCACCAAGGGTCGGTCTAAAACCAAGGGGCACCCCTCCCACCCCCTTGGCACTGGGTCATGGCACTTCCCTCTTTTTCAGAAAGTAAGCCCATTGGTTCAGCGAGTAAACAGAAAACGTGCTGCCTGATTTCAATAAACAGAAAGGAAATGTGTCCTCTCATTACCCAGCCCCTCCGGACTCAGAGAGCCTCACGCTCCTCAACAACCAAGATGATGCTATACCCGGCACTACCCAGGCCCTCATTAACCCACAGGCGCCACGCGTCCTTCCTAACTCACCAGCCCTTCCCCAGGCGCCACGCATCCTTCCTACTTCACCTACCCCTTCCCCCAGGCGCCACGCGTTCTTCCTACTTCACCTACCCCTTCCCCAGGCGCCATGCGTCCTTCCTAACTCACCTACCCCTTCCCCAGGTGCCATGTGTCCTTCCTAACTCACCAGCCCTTCCCACTGGGGTGCTCACCATTGCTTTACTGATAGAGATTTGCAAGTTTAAAACCAGACACCACCAAGAGGACAAGGCAGCAGGGAGTGGGGCTGAGTGGGGAGAGGGAAGGGCCCTGGGCATGGTTCCCAGTTCACTCCGCCTCAGCACAGGGCTGGGTGTCCCGCTGGCCTGCAGGCCTGACTGCCCCCTTAAACAAGTAGCTACTAGTGATACATTTCCTGCTTCAAGATACACCAGTTCTTCTGGCCTTTCAGAATGGTCTTTTTTTTCTTCCCTTCTTGGTGTAATGCTGACATATCTGCAGTGTGGTGCTTATTCTCACAGCATGGCTACAGCCAAAAATAAAAATAAAAAGGATTATTCTCCATCCAGCTCCGAGGCAGAGAATTCTTTCTGTAAATAGTTCATCAACACCAATAAAGACACACGTTTTGGGGGGTTGTCTTGGTCTTTACTGTGACCAATTCTGAATTATGTAGCCCTCTGTATACTTTATA